CTGTGCGCGCTTGAACAGTCTATAATATATATCTACATTTCGTTATCGTACATCGCCTGCTCATCTCGAGTCAAATCAATAATCGCACCAACACCCCGTTGTCGTTCCTCCGCCATTGCGTCGGTGACTAAGTAAGCTTGAAGCTGACCCAAAGATATGTACAAAGTCCCGGTTGACGTCATCGGCTTAGAAAAACATGATAGTAGTTGAATATGGATGTGTAAGAACCATGGAAGCACGAAGATATCAGAAGTAAGCGTATTCATCAGACAGACTTTTTATACTTTGGAGTCCGATCATCACGTCTGGACCGTTCCATTGTACGTGTATTCAACTGTTCCGCAACGGGATCTCCCGTCCGAAGCCCGAGAACAAATGCAAGTTGTGCTGATTCACCAATTGGAAGCGCGGACTACCTGCTGATTTATGACTTCGAATGGCATAAATAATGTACGGTTTAGTCGACCTTGATCGAGCCGTAGATGCGTTGCACAAACGCCCAGCTGGCGAAGAATCCAATCGAACCTGTGCAGAATGAGTTAGGGACCACCTCAAAACCCTCCAGCCTGGCTCATGGACGAATAACATACCTGTTAAGATGAAGACCAGGAAACCAATCAAGGCAGAGTAACCCACATAGAGGACTGCCCCTGTGAGTCCACCGAAGCTCACTCGAGTGATCCAGAAAATAAAGGCATTGATAAAAACGTAGAAGCCCGTCATTCCGGCTCCAGCGAAAGCCCTCCAATGCCACCGGTAGTTTTCAGCGCACAACAAAAAGTAAACCAACAGGACCGTGGTGGCTGCAGTGGTCATGATCATGAGTCCATAACAGAGGAAGAGGAATCCGAACATGTAGTAAATCTTGCTCGTCCACAAAGAAGTCATGATGAAGTACAGCTCCACAAAGATAGCGCCAAAAGGCAAGATGCCCGTAAGTAGCAAAGAAGGAATTGTCCGAAGGCTTCCAGTCATGGGAGGAACTTGTCTCGGAATTTGGTTGGTCTTCGTTGGACCTTCGATTGCCTGAAAATGCAAGTCAGCAGATGCTCGTTAGAGGCTGAGGACGAACATACTCGTTGCTTGAAACCAAGCCAGCTGCCTGCCACACTTAATGGCACACTGATGACGAACCAAATGAGGACCAGGGCAAGCATGGTTGTGAAAGGTACGGCTCCACTGGAACCCTTGGCCCAGACAAACAGGTTCAGCAGGAAAAAGGTACCAAAGATAAGCCCAGGAATCAAAACCGGAGTCAGGATGATGTTGCGCTTCCAAGCCTCGCCGCCGAATGACTTGTATACGCGAGCCGAGACATAGCCTCCGACGAAGCCAAAAAGGGTGTAGATGAGGAGGATGGCAGTGGCCAAGAAACCGCGGTTGGCTGGCGAGAGAAGACCGAAAAGCGCGAAGACTTTGACAGAATCAGCATTCGGTTCGCACAACGAGAACTTCAGATAAACCTACCAACTGTCACACCAGTCATCATGAAAAGTTGAGCCCCGTTGCCGACAAGCACACTCAGGAGCAAAGGTGACCTGGGGCATCGGAATACATCGCCATGAACAAGCTTCCAGCCGGAATCCTCTTGAATTCCGTCCTCAATGGCAGCTGACGTGCCATCCAAATCTTCGAGATTGATCATGTCCAGGCGGTTGTAACGAGCGATGTCTTTCTTGAGAGCCCTCAGAAGGATCATACTCACCATACCGACCAAGAAAACCACAAACACGGCAGAGTTGATGAGTGAAAACCAATGGATCTTCGGATCGTAAACGTGCAAGTACTTATCCCAGCGAGTAGCCCAAGGAGTGGGCGATTCGCGCCAGTACACGCCATACGTCCAAGTGACTGCTGTCTCGCCATCTTCGCTCAGAATTACAGAGGCGTCGTCTGCGCCGCACTCCACTGTTCCATCTTCAAGGACTCTGGAATCACGCCGGGACGCTGGTTGAACGAGCACACCGACAACCCGGTACTTGTCCTTGCTGCCGAACCCTACACGGTGATAGTCAATGACGATATCATAGTGGTTGTTCAGCATTGCCTGTCCATCATCATTCAGAGTGCCGAGCGCAAAACCGGGACTGTAGAACTTGGACTGGGTCACTGCGTCCAGGTTCAACTGAGCACCGGGAAGCCCGTCCACCAACCAGTTGATATTATAGCCCTGAGCTATCCTTCTGTTGACAAACTTGGCGCTTCGCGAATCGAACTTGACTTCTCCACAAACAGCCTTGCACGATTCATTCTTGCCCATAAACAACTCAAACGGCGATGTCTGGATACGATCACCGAAAAGAATGCTACCTAATGACTCGCGAACATCTTTCGGTCCATCTGCCCGACGACAAAAGTGGAATGCGGTATGATAGTAGTCGTAAGCGAAGACGGAATGCAGCTGTTCATCTTGTTGCGCTAGTCCCGGGGTAAGATGGTTGACGTAGAGCGGCACAGCTTGGCCTTCATCGTATGAGGTTGGTGCTACACCAGGAAGGTAAAAGGCGGCAGATAATGAAGGAGCTGTCAGGAGAAGAGTAGATGTCGTTAACCGTTTGTCGAGCCGCATATTGGGCGTTTCCGGAGGGAAAAGGGGACAATCAGGTCAGGTGTGTCGGTCTAGAATAAACGGGCGAAGCCTAAAGCGGATAAAGATGGCTCATAAAGTACTCGAACTGGACCATAGATCGAACAACCCGCGCACCGTGAAGCTGAGACCCTACTCAGAAGATCATGTATGGGAAGTCGACAATAGATGAGGCCAACAGGCTGAAAGGATTACAATTGCTGTAGAAGCAGGAGAATAGGTAACAAGCAGTGGTTACTCCGTACGAGCTCTGGTTACCTGGACTTTCCGCACGGCCAGCTAATCCGCAGTCTTGGCACACGTGATGGCTGGAGAGATCCCAAGCAACCGGTTAATAATCACGTGCCGATAAGATTTGGGTGATCGAAAAATTTCCCTCAGCATATTTTACCGCACTCTAGAGAAAGACGCAAGTTATATAACTATCCACATTACAATGGCGACAGCGGCGGCTCAAACAGAACCTTCGGGTCTAGAGAATATTTCTACATTACTGGAGAATCTCACCAGTTGTTTGTCGAGCACTGGGTCGTCCCTTCCGCAAGCAAAACGAGATTCACCAACCGACGTCTCCATCGAACCTCCTCACGATGGCATATCGCTTCTTGACACCAAAAGCGACCTGTTACTATCTTACCTACACAACTTGGTTTTCCTTGTTATTTTCCAGTTGAGAGAGGTAGCCTCTGAGGAGTCGAAGGCAGAAGAGAACAGCGATGTCGGTAATGGAAACTTGTCACTGCGCGAAGAAATCGTTAAAAAGCTTACCGAGCTCCGCGTGTATTTGGACCGAGGCGTACGGCCTCTGGAGGGCCGACTGAAGTACCAGGTTGACAAAGTCATCAAGGCTGCAGAGGATGCCGACAGGGCCAAGCGCGGTGCGCAGGCTTCGACAAAGAGCAAGGCAAAGAATGCGAAATCCGATAACAACAACGAATCCGGCTCTGAAGAGAGCTCCGGCGACAGTGAGAGCGATAGTGAAGGTGAAGACGAAGAGGAAGAGGGCATTGATGAGATGGCTTACCGACCGAATATTTCTGCCTTCTCGAAGGGAATAAAGTCGGCGGCTCAGACAGAAGAGAAGCCAGACAAGAAAATGGCAGGCGACGGTATCTATCGGCCTCCGAGAATCATGCCAACTGCACTTCCCACAACCGAACGCAAAGAGCAGAGGGACCGCCGTCCACGCAGATCCAATGTCATTGACGAGTTTGTCAGTGCTGAAATGTCGGCCGCTCCCATGGCAGAGCCCAGTATCGGTAGCACGATTGTCCAAGGAGGAAGACATTCGAAGACCAGGAGGGAAAGAGAGCACGAGGCCGAACGTACCACATATGAAGAAACCAACTTCGTGCGATTGGCCAAGGAGAGCAAGAAGGAGAGAGCCAAGCGGCGCGGTCAGGGCAAGGAGAGCACTTTTGGTGGTGAAGAGTGGAGAGGTCTTACCGAGGGTGCAGACCGGATCGCAAAGCTCACGCGTAGGGCCAAAGGAAGCGGCAGCGCGCTGGAGAAGAGTCGGAAGCGAAAACTTAACGATGATGGACCACGCAGTGATGGCGCGGCAGTGGGTCAGATCTTTGAGAAGCGTCGGAAGAAGGTTGAGAGCTGGAAACGGGCTTAGATGTACATATTTTAGCATTACGGATATGGTCCTGGAGTTTTGTTTATATGTGAGGCAACTGGCATTTCACCGATACCACCAAAAGTTGATCGATTATATATTTTGCCGCCTGTGCGAACTCTAATCAGAGCATCTTTTAAGACTAGCTCAATTCCTTGCAGCACTAGTCATTGATCTAGTAATCTCTATAAATGATTACTTCTCTATGTAAGTCAAATTTAGCGATGATAAACACATGCTGAAATGTCACCGTCTCCGAATTGCATTTTCACATGCGTCGGAAAGCGAATGACATCATCGCCATTTCGGCCTCAGGAACAGGAACAAGTTAATCAAGGAGAAGCCCATTCACCATTCGCTTTGTCCTCAATTGCTTTTCAACCTCAAGCGGCAATATCACACTTCGAAGGAAGAAATTAGGAAGATGGAAAACCCAGGTTAGCGCCAAAAATCCTACAATAATGGCCAATCTGATCTAATGTGACAATGCAGTGTCAGAGATCTCGACAGTTATCAAGCAGCTGATAGAGTCACCGCCATCAGTTCAGCAGGAAACAATAGAGAAATACTTCACGCCATCAGCAGCCTTTGTACATCCATTCTGCCGTGTTCCGAGTTATGATGGCAGCCGTTGGTCCATCATCAAGATCTTCCAATGGTACAAAATCATGTCGCCTCGAATTGAGCACCAGATTCATTCCATCGGCAAGTGTTCATAGCTCAGCCTCTGATCTTGCGGGTCGCTAATAATCCACAGCCTATGACGAAAGCCATCTCACTCTCTATATTACCATGTCACAGATATTTTCAATATGGGTGGTTCCATTCCACGTCTCTCCCGTCAGACTCACGACGGTCATCAATCTCACCACGGATTCTGGAGTCCAGAAGCCCTCGATGGTGAACGGGGATCATACCCTCTACTACATCGCCAAGCAAGAAGATTTGTACCAGGTCTCAGAATGGATCAAGTTTCTAGTTCCCCATGTAGGGCATCTCTTTGTTCTTGCTTTTCAATCATTTGCGACTCTCTTCTGTATGCTCGGTGTTGTCATCTTCTATCCTATCATGTGGCTGGAGGAGAGGCGGGTTATTCCTTATAAGATGTTGCGCAAGGGAAACCTTGTGTATAATATCGAGAGGAAGATACCGGAGATTAGGAAAGAGTGAGGCGGAGCTCTCGAGGAGGTCATCAAGTTTAACTTAACTCATGGTTGTGTTGGCGTTGTTTGTTTAACTCCTTCTCGAGATATCTACTCTGTCTCCCCCGTGAGCGTGAATATCGTTCGGAAATTTGTTATTAGAGCTTTGGAAGACACCGAGGGACCAGACCTCCTTTTCTCTCACAAACTGGAGTATATCTGCCTTCTGCAGATTTATCAACACCTTTCATTCTACCCGAAACCGAGAGACCTTTCAGTGGATCTGAGCTCTTTTTTGTCTAAGGCAAAACAACGGATGCAAGGGTGACAAAGAGTTGTAGTTAGGACCAAGATTGGCTGCCTTAAGCGTATCTTTTAAACAAACTTTGGAGCGATAATCATAACTCATGGAACATGCGACTAGCTAGTCTTCAATCAATATTGGGAAGATGTTTACGTCCTTGAGGCTCCATGGGTTTGCTTCGACCCTTGGTTTATCTCAGATTAAATGGAAGATATTGGCATAGAAAACGTGAGCGCAATTTTTTCTAAGTGCTGTCTACAGGAATATCAAACATGTTTTTGGATAAGAACAAAGAAAGAAAATGTCATATGTATCGTGATAGAACATCTTCCGGGGCACCGTCCAGTTCAAGACTTGTGCTTTGCTGCAATATGCATTCAAAACCACACAGAGGTTTTAATGCTGCTTCCTCAACTGCTGTCGGAACGATTCTTCTTGCCTGACGACTTCCAGCGGAAGCGTACGGCCAATGCCAAAGAGCACGAATGGCGCCCACTTCCAGCGGAACGGGTTGACAAGAATTACGAAGATGTACCAGTAGATCAATTCGGCGTAAGTGAAGAAGTCAAAAGCGCCTGTCGGAGCCAGCCGTTTCATCAAGCGCGTAAAGTCGATCCAGGTCTTCATCCGACCTTCCGTTGGCCGCGATAGAGGATCAACCAGGAACATCAGCAGGAAGCGCGTGTAGATACCAATGTGCATGTTTCCCACAGTGCCGATGGCGTTGATGTAGGTGCTGTTGTTGGCGCAGATGCTCGTGTACTTTGGTGGGAAAACCTGGAGATACCAGCTGGGTGGGCCATAAGGGTCTTCGAAACAATCATTCGGCAGGAAGTTTAGCGATGGTCGCTTGAAACCCGTTGCCATGATGATCACATCTCCAGGAACAACCGATTCGTGTCCGGGACCTCCCTTGGGGACTCCTCGTGAGCGATGATTGAACATGACACCGTCCTCTGTGAGAGAGACAATGTCTCCGCGTAGCCAGCGTGCTTTACCCTGGCGGATTTGGTCAAAGAGCTCCGAATTGGCCATGGGAGTTTCGGTGTAGAGACCGCTTGACGGGGCAATGTCCTGGAGATCGCGATAGAAAAGCTTGTGTAGCAACCACTCCGGAATCCATGACAAGAATGTCTCCTGTCCAAAGATGTTCATGGCTAGCAGCGACTGGACGAATACGTTGCGCGGGATAATCCACTTATCGGACCGTGACAGCACGTCTATCTCACTCGCCTTAGACTTGACGGCAAATTCCAGCGCTTCAATGGCACTGGCGCCACCGCCAATGATGAGCACCTTCTTGCCCTCGACGTCTTTCCCGTCGAGCTCAGAAGAATGGAAAATCTTGCCTTTATAGCGGTCTTGAGCCGGAAGAGGCGGCATCTTTGGATCACCGCAAACGCCAACAGATGCGATTACGCCATCGAAGAGTCCGTACTCTTCCTCGTTGTCGTTAATGATCCATTTTCCGTCCTTTGTCTGTTTGACGGACGTAACTGGAGTGTCGAAAACAGTACGCTTCTGGAGGCCGTAGCGTTTCCACAGGTCAATGATCTGCTCGCGAATTTCCTGTTGCGAGGGATAGGCGGTGGTGTATTTCACTGATGGATGAAACCGATACATTATACTATGAACCTGCAAGGATGAGGTAGAGTTGACGCGCTAAATGAGATTGCATTAGTAAAATTTCGAATAAGTTCAAAGAGAGAACAACGTACGCTCCAGATTCCTCCGAGGCCTTTATCCTTGGGACGGGCTTCAAATAATTGCACATCGAATCCATGTCCAATGCAGTGCGCCGCAGACGATACTCCAGTCAAGCCGGCACCAATGACAGCTACTCTTTTCTTGGGAAGACCATTGGCAGTTGATGCTGGAGGCGGAGGAGCGGGCGAGAAAATCCAGGTGAGGATATTCTGGAATAGCATATAGAATACACTGAACACCATGAGGAAAGGATGCGTGAAGAAGTCCACAGCCGTGGACTTGGCTTTTGATTGTGCCATAGAAGATGAACACTCAGTTGACACGTAGGAGGATTATTGCGACTTTGGATATGGCAGACAAATTATAGCAAAGGCCAACACTTAATTGCCCAGCTGAACGATGGCAGGGGGACCTCAGAGAAGAGGAAGTATGAAAAACGAAGGTAATACTGAGTAAATTGTTTACAAGAAGGACAATAAGCGGGAAATCAGGCTTCTTTTCAATCGGATCTCAGATAGGCCTTTTCCTGGTCTGCTCTGAAGGTGGTGGTGGTGTGGTTCAAGCATGACGTAGGCGAGTGGATCGTCTTCATGTGAAAGTGGACGAGGGCAAGGGATGTTTGCTGCTTCCCTGTGATTGTTCTCGTTCCACGACGCCCGGCATCATCATTTCGCAAGATATTGCAGGGGTGCGTTATTTTTATCAAGTTTGACAGCTTTTCGAAGATCCTCACCCGAGGTAGGCAAACGATGAACGTCCATCTCCGGAATACAGTGGACGACTCACCATTATAACGAGTTCACTTCACCAGATCACCAGATCACCAGATCATCATAGCACCTAAGCACCCAACTCAATGACCTAAAGCTTGTATCTTACTACATAAACGCAATCCTGAAATGGCGATATTCTGAAATATGGCAAGCAATAGATCATTGGCGAGCCTCGCTTCGAAAGAGCAGGCATCAAACATGAGATACCTATATCTCATAAGTATTGCCCAGCAGAGACACATGTGATCCAGACCGTTGTGTATATGGTCGAGACTCCAATGCTCTCTTTGTAGGTTATAATCATTCCGTAGGGTAGCTAGCCTCCTAGCGCCATAGTCCTTTTGTATCTCCGGGTTGATTTCCAGGATCTAGCGCAGACACTGTGAGGTGATTGGCAGGCATATTTAGTTTAAGCTTCCCCTAAGGTACATTCCTCTATTCTCCACACGAATACATCCATAGAGCCTTTAAGCCACTCAAAATATATAGGATAAAGTACCGTGTCAGCGAGCATCGGTTCCATCATATGATGTGGAATTGTAGCTCGGAGACAAGATCTTGCATGATTTCCAAAATTATATATTGTGTGGAGGCTGGTTTCTCCAATCTCCTTCAAGGATTAGCCTATCATGGATGTAATTAAGGCTGTTGGACTTCGTCACGTTGTATATAGCGAATTGAATAATCTCCATCTTCAGCTTCCGAAGTGATGAGCAAGATGACAATTATCTAGATAGGTGTAGCAGATGTCACTAGACAACGTGGTGTCGTGTCGTTCCCCAAAACAAAGAGTAGAGCTAACCACAAAAGGGATTATTGGCCTGCGGTCAGTCAGTTGGCTCTCCCGCCCGCCACAAGAGCTTAAACTCCGCAGCTTCTTCCGCTTCTTTCGCGGTTGTCAAGTCTCTCTCTATCCACCCAAGACACGCTCAACCGCATTCTTTGCGCTGCTTACAATACCAGTCTTTCTCTGTATAGTGCGAACAATGCACTCTTACCGATAATTATCTACTCTCCTCACAGTTCGTACGACCGCTGAGCTCCCATGACCGCCAACAACTTGAATTTGTCCACCACGTTTCCGACGTAAACTATTCCTCCTATTGCTGCTTCTCGCGGCTACCAACTATGGCGGGCCATGGCACTCCTGTATTGGATCGCTTCCTAGCAGGAATTGCTGATCTCGTGAAAGAGCGCGATGGAGCCAAGCTCCAGGATTTCTTGCAGATCGAACCTCCTCTTCCCGACGTGTACCGACAGATGGTGGACGAGCTGCGACAACAATACCCGAGCGGATCGCCAAAAGAAGGAAACCTGTTGCGACGATGCGAAGAAGTTGTGCCGCGTACCAAAGGAGCTAGCTCGTGGGCAGCCTTCCCTACATTCATGAAGCTATATTTCAGCTTCCTTCGCGATGTCAACGTCGACAACCTCCTCGAGACGTATAACCTACTCAAAGGACTTCTCAAGTAAGTCGCCGCCGTATATTCCCCGCCTACACGATCTTCTTGTCTCGATCTCGATCAGCAGCGAGTTTCTGACCGATATTTCCGCTTTCGCGACGCGGTGCTGATTCGTACCTTTTTGAACCAAACAGCCAATGCGTCATAGCTCTCGGCGACAGTCAGATGGGTGTGATAGTGCTACCGACCGTCCTCTATTTGTCCAAAGTCCTTGCAAAGTTAGCAATGGGTCTGGACCGTCGGCCGGAATTGATTGCACACTTGTTGAGGCAGGAGGGTAGTTCGAACCAGGAAGAAAGCGTTGAAAAAGTCACCCTCGTGGAGCGGTCTGCAAATGTCGTCCGTGAAGCCTTCATCAAGTGCCTTACCGATCGTAGCGGCACTCCAGGGATTCATGGAAAGCCCGAAGGCAAGCGAGTGGGCATATATCTTATGGCCAATCTGTGCTTGAAACTACTCTTTCAGGTATGCATTGATCCCCGGCATACAGTTCATCGTTATCAATTACGTATCGACTGAAACAACCATACAGTGCGGCAAGCTGCGAAACGCGGAACAAATGTTCGCCAGCATCAGTGCCCAGTCCCCGCCTCTGAAGTACTTCCCGGCTTCTCAGCGAGTCACTTATCTCTACTACCTTGGACGATATTTGTTCTCCAACAACCTCTTCTATCCGGCGCAGATTGCGCTGCAAGCTGCCTATGACCAGTGTCACCGCCAGGCTGTCGGTCAGAAACGTATGATTCTCACGTACCTTATCCCATGCAACATCATCATGGGCCGCTTTCCTTCATTGCAACTCTTGCAAAGACCAGAATGCGAAGGACTCGCCGAGCGATTCATCCCAATTTGCCAATTGATCGTTCGTGGGGACTACATTGCCTTCCGAGAGCACCTGGCAGTGGACTCGCCGACGACTGAATGGTATGCAAAGCGAGGCATCTTGCTTCCCTTGCGGAATCGATGTGAGATTTTAGTTTGGCGGTCATTAGCGCGTAAGGTGTTTATTCATGCCGGCTTCCATGGGGATCCTCAAGCGCAATCCCAGCGCGGACCGCCGCCCTATCTTTACTTGAGCAAACTGGAAACGGCTGTGCGATGGCTGCAATCGCAACATACTCAGGCATCCCTCGGAGCTATCGGAGTTATACAGCCCAGCAGAGTGCAGGACGCAAAGGCTGCTAGCAATAGCGCCGGGTCGCAGATCGTCTTTAAGGTATTGGATCCGGACTTCACTGGAGTGAGTGGCGTGGATGCCGGTGAGCTGGAGTCTGCCGCTACCTTGCAATCCAAGTATGGGGATTATCTTGCTCCAGACGGATACTTTGATGCTCTGGGCCGATGGCAAGACAATCCGACGGGCGCCTTGACGGATGGTGAAATAGATGCAGACTACAGTCAATTTGAGCTAGATCCGTACGCTCACCATCTAGATCAAGGGCACGAAAAGCCAACACTTATGATGCGCGAGCTCGAGTCCATTCTTGCATCGCTCCTGACTCAAGGTCTCATGCGCGGATACCTTACGCACAGGAACCCTCGGTTTGCGATTCCTGGTGCACGACTTCGTGGTGCCTTGCCTACTGGCTTTCCAAACGTTTGGCAAACAATCTCTGCACGGGAAGGAGAAGATGATACTGTGCCTGGATGGGTGCAGCCCCCGTCACCGATGGCATCTCAGTTTGCTGCTGCTGCTGCCGGCGGCGGTGGAAGAGTCGTGAACTTGTCTGGTGCGCGCCCAGTTGGAGTTCAGTGATCCTCTGATAAGGATGGCTCCCAGAAACACCTAGCAATGAGCCGAAACACGGCGAAAATTGCTGCAGAGCACAGAGTGCACGGTCGGCGTGATAGCATCTGGCGGAAGGTTCAAATGATCGCATGTGTGTTGCACCTGCATTCCAAGATCATTATATCTTATGAAACTCGCAATGTTTGAGACAACCGGTAGGCCGCGGAATGCGACTGTTGCCGACCTACCCTGCGTTAGTCGAGCCACTACGGAGTAATTCGGTAGCCTAGTTGGTGTGGGTACAAGCTAGGACACGGTACTATTCCTCTACGTCACAACCCGCTCTCCCCGATTCCCGCAAAGCCCCTGGTCATCACAACATGGACGATCACAACAAGACCGTAGCGACCATTGCAGGTCAGGTCAGAAAATTCCACAGTCGCCAACAACCTTTTCGCATCTATCATGGCTCAACGAATAGTACACGGCAGTCTGAGCATGATCACAACAATACCATCAACACAGCACATCTAAATCATGTTATACGCACCGATTGCGAAGCTCAAACAGTGCTGGCCGAACCCAATGTCCCGATGGACCACCTCGTCCAGGCCACTCTGGCTGCTGGCCTGGTCCCTCTTGTTGTGATGGAGTTTCCTGGTATCACGGCCGGAGGAGGGTTTTCCGGCACATCCGGCGAAAGCAGCTCTTTTCGACACGGTTTCTTTGATGCCACTGTAAATTGGATTGAAATAGTCCTGCCAAACGGTGAGGTACGGATTGCCTCGAAGACCTCCGATCCCGATCTCTTCTGGGGTGCTGCGTCGGCATTCGGCACTCTAGGTGTCGTCACGTTGCTCGAGATACAGTGTCAACAGGCTAAACCTTATGTCGAGCTAAAGTACCAGTCCACCTCGTGCATGGCTCATGCCATGGACATCTTCCGCACCGCGGCTGCAGATCACCAGATCGATTACCTCGACGGGATCGTCTTCGCCAGGGATCACATCGTCGTTTGCACAGGACGACTGACCGATTCTCTGCCTGCAAACACCAAACCACAACGCTTCACCGGCGCTCGGGATCCGTGGTTTTATCTTCATGCACAGAAACGTGCCAACTCATCTTCAAGAAGCCCAGACTACATCCCGTTGACCGACTACCTTTTCCGCTATGACCGGGGCGGGTTCTGGGTTGCCCGGTACGCCTATTCGTACTTCCTAGTTCCATTCAACCGTATCACACGCTACATTCTGGACTATTTCATGCACACGCGGGTGATGTACCACGCTCTCCACGAGAGCGGACACTCTAAGCGGTACATCATCCAAGACGTGGCGGTACCATACACTGGGACAACCGAGTTCCTCGACTGGCTGGACCAGAAACAGAACTTTGGCGCATACCCGATCTGGCTGTGCCCTCTGCGGCATTCAGAAGGGCTGATGTCACGTGCTGATTCGACCAATGCGGCCCTACCATCTACCAATCCGGAGGACGACGGGTACCTCATGAACTTTGGTCTGTGGGCGCCGTCTCCCTTCCACAGCAACACTGCCGAGTTCATCGCACAGAATCGCCGACTGGAAGGCAAAGTGCGCGAACTCGATGGAAAGAAATGGTTATATGCGCATGCGTACTACACCGAAGACGAATTCTGGTCTATATACGATAAGAGGAAATACGACCAGCTGAGGGAGAGATATCATGCGTCTTATCTGCCTGATCTGTACCAAAAGGTTCGGGTTAGACTTGCGGCGTCTGAGGATGGTACTGGCAGTATGGGTTGGGGATCTATCCGAGATATTGTGTGGAACCTCTGGCCTGTGAGTGGGTTGTATGGCGTCTACAAAGCCTGGAGGGGAGGGGATTATCTGCTCAAGACGAAGCAAAAGTAAGTCTTCGAGTCATTGAGCAGTGTTGCTACGTTCCATGTTGTCAAGTGATGATCGTTCGGGCACCAGCAATGGGGGTTTGGAATGGATATAATGTAAATGAACAAGTGCCAATACCAAGTATATCATCCATTGGTCATTTATCGTAAGTCGTACTCTATTGTGCTTAGATTAAGAAGTAATCATTGCTCGCAGAGCTCCCAAACAATCCGACTACAACTCATGTATCCAACTACTAGTTGGCACTACTTCTCGATAACAATGCGCCCCTCGAGTCTGGGCGCAATGCCGGGGGTCCACGCCGGCGTGAACCCCTGAGCATCATCGGCCGTGTTGAGCGTCGTGGGCTCGAACCCAGCAGCGCGCATCCATTTCCGGACCGCCCGGCGCGCAAGCCGCATCCGTTGTTCTTCCTCCGCGGCAGAGCGGGCGGGCAGAGTGACGTAGTTGGTGGTCGGCTGCGGGGAGGTCAAGATCTCCGGGTCCGAATCCGAGTCCGAGTCCATGCTCGTGCCCTCCTCGTCCTCGCGGCCTTTGGCAGTCCCGTTTGCTTCGATCTCGGTGAACCGGCCGTAGTAATAGTGCTTTGTGCGTTTGAAGTTCGGCCGCGAGAAGAAAGGCCGGCTGGGCACCTTCTCGGAGACGGGGGAGGGTTGCGCGGAGGCGGGTTTCAGCCAGCCCTCGCAGTGGAGGTTCTGGTGGACTTTTGCCCAGTGCCGTGATAGACTCTTGCTCCAGCGCTGCCACTTGCCCAGGATCCGGAGGCTGAGGAAGTACTGCCGGAGGATGGTGCTGATCATCACGCCGTTTTCTTCGTCGACGATCTCTTCCACCTCTCCTCCGGCGGACTGTACGAGGAGGGATGTGAACCCGTCCTTCCCGCGGGCCATGTAGCCCCTCGTCGCGAGGACGTAGCTCCGTTCGAACTCGATCGGTTGCCCGCCTACTTTGGCCCAGTTGAGGCGCGAGCCAGGGGGTGCGGACGGGTTGTAGCTAAAGGAGATGTTCGATACCTGTGGGAAGCGTCCCTCTAGGGCGGGCAGCTGGCTCACTCCGTTTTCTAAGGCGTCCATAAGTGCTGAGCCCTTGATCCGGAGCAAGACCACCGGGTCCTCGAAGGGGAAGCAGTTTAGCAGATCCTTGAGGCGTAGTAGACCGGGTGGGTAGATCTGGTCACCGCGGATTGTCCCGCCGGCCATCATAGCGCAGTCGGCGTCATAGTAGAATCGCATGAGATCGCAGACAAAGTTGCCGAGATTGGACTCTTTCTGACGAACCGTGGAGAAACGGCCGTCGAGCGGACGGACTGTGTATCCAACCGGCTTTTCCAGCTTCGCCTTGAGGCTGGAGGTCAACCGACCGACCAGGGCAACAGTGGCGGGATCTTCGGGAATCGTTCGAACTATATCGCGACGGACGATGTTGAAGTCCCATCCCGGTCCGTCAGCCTTACGCCACGCCTCGATATAGCTCAGCTGTTTGAAATCGGTGCCGGATCGCAAGATATGCGTGTTGTTGATCACCGCATGTCCGTAGAAATGATCATGGCCTCCTAAGATGAGGTCTATCGTGCCGGGGGGAAGGTTCTGAGCCAGTTTATAGTCGTTCGGTTCTCGCTGGTGGGTAACGGCTATGATAATATCCGCGCCCTGCTGGCGCAGTTTCGGTGCGAGCTCTAACGCGGTTTGTGAGGCGGATTTATAGATCAGGTCCGGAGGGAGGGAGTTGATGGTTCCTAGCCTTAAGATTGTCAATTCATTGCCTGACACCATAGTACCATAGTATCATTCAATAGCCTACCATTCCCGCTCTCCCAGCCCAATAACGCCAACCTTGAGTCCGTTCGACGATGTCAACATAACCATCTTCTCGCAGTTGGCGATCGAGACGTCTGAACCCAGCGCCGGGTCTAGAACATTGGCCAGCAGCCAGGGAAACCTGCACTGGCTACGCAGATGACGAAACTGTGCGACACCGAAATCGAGATCGTGATTCTGTCCACCCCACAGCGTGTTAGCCACATTCCTGGTCATAATCAAGCCCTTGTGCAACGCTCACATACCCCAACGCAAGCTACATCCGTCCCTGCTTTGTTCAGGAACGGTACCATATGTCGCCCTTTGGTGACTGTACTCTCGAGACTGGGGTTAAAGGCATCGCCGGAGAAGAAGGTCAGGACGTCGGGAAGGTCGGTAAATCGCGGGTGCGAACGATAGTAGTTGATCACGGATTGGAAACGGGAGACACCGCCAACGGGTTCAGCGGAACCAGCCCTGGGACATGGTCAGCATTCATCGAGAAGGCATGTCGGTGAGGGGTCAAGCGTACTCCACGTGGTAGACATCGTTGTAGTGAATCAGACGCAAGTCAGGCGGGCCTGTTCTGTTGGAGGAATGTGTGATGGTGAGGCCATCTAGTTCGACTGGAGTCATCATTTATAGGATATAGTAATGTCAAGAAGGAGAGGCGGGAGAAGAGTGAAAGAGGATCAGACAGCTAGCTGAATGAGCTCAAAGGCAACACGGGGATCAGCAGGTGCTGCCTGAGGCATCACGGCTGCAAGGCACCTCCGGAACTAGCTTGCCACCACCAATTACAACAGGTGGATCCGCGCGGGGATCAACGGGGGTGCAATCGGCGGAGTAAACAAATGACGTACTACACGAAGATGATTTAGAGTCCGAGAAGCGAGTCAAATATATTGTAGTGAGAAAAGGCTGACTATGGCAATTGATGGAAGTGGTGATGGCCATTACTTTTGTACAGCATTGTGAATGGGGAGTATTACATGACCTATGTCATGTTTCAGGAGAGTCTCATGCAATTGTAGACCGCGATCCCTGAACGCCTCGCCTTATACAAATCAAATAAACACATAAATAGTGACAAACCAACATCCCAAGGTATCCTGATAAAAATTCAAAGTAAGAAAAGTAGAACCAAAATAAGAGTGGAAACAAAGCCGATTATATCCTTCTTTCAGTCACCGTCCAACGTCTTCTGGTAGCAGCTTCCCGGTCCTTGGATACCGGTGTGCTACCCCAGAGACCGCGTTGGGAAAAGGTTCTTTGAGGCAGGTTGGACCACGCGGCTGGCTCCTCAGGCTTTGATGCAGAACCCTTTGCCTGACCT